GAGGCAGATATGGGAACAGACCATACATTAGTGGGAGCTAAATTGATAATAAAAATAAGAACAACAACAAAAAAGAGAGAACCAAACACCAGAGCTTCCCATGTTATAAAATTACCAATCTAAAACAGATGATGACACAAAAAGAATTAAAAATTGTGCTAACAAACAGATACAATATTTGACAATGAAGAACATAGAAGACAAATCTCCCTGGCTTCTTGATTAATTTATAAATGTTTTCCCTCTCTTTCCATATATCTATAACTTTTTTCAATATTCACTTTTTTCAGGTAAAATTTTATTTTATATTGATGGTCAGAGAAATATTTTCAGAAGTATTCAATAATGCAAAAGAGAATAATGCTGATTATAGGAATGAAATGAGAATATAGAAATAATGAAAAGGAGAACAATACTGATTATAGGCATGAAGTGAGATTGTAGGAATGTTGCCAATTACATGTGGAGATGACAAACAGATCTTAACTCTGTCCCTTTCCACATCTCCTGATTTCCCTGTATTCTATCCAGATTTTCTTTCCTAATCATTCCTTTGTTTCCTTCCCCACTTACATCTGAATGCCTCCTTTGAGTGCACTAGGAATGTTAGCCAAGTTCCCTCCTTCCTTTTCAACCAACTTCTAAACGCCCACCTGTTCTATGGATCACTCCCTCAGGACCAAGCAGTGCTGTGCATTTGCTCTGTATTGTGTTTTGCCTGCTCGTGCCTCTAATTCTGCAGTTCTCAAACTGTGGGCTGGGACCCCAAAGTGAGTCACAACCCCCTTTAATGGGCTACCCAGGGATGACATCAGGCTTGTGAGAGCCTGGGACCTAAGCACTGAGCAGCAGGTCTCAGGTTACAGGTCCTCCGTCCCACCCAGGGCTGAAGCCCTCAGGCTTCACCTGCCACCCTGCAGTCCTGGGGTGGTAGGGATCTGGTGGGTTCTGATTTCTGTCCCCTCTTGTGGCATCTTGTTGGTAATGATTATTGTTAGAAATGGGGTGTTGTACAATTGAGAACCGCTTCTCTCATTTATTAAGGAGAACAGGGAATTAGTTATTTGTTCAGCACAAGTTCCCTCATTGTACACCTAATTGTATACAAACTAAGGCGGTGTCTACACTGGGCCACTTATTCCGGAAAAGCAGCCGCTTTTCCAGAATAACTTTACAGCTGTCTACACTGGCTGCTTGCTTTTCCGGAACAGCAATGACGATCTACTGTAAAATTGACAGTGTTTTTCCAGGAAAAACTATGTTGCTCCCGTTCGGGCAAAAATCCTTTTCCGGAAAAACTGTTCCAGAAAAGGGCCACTGTAGACAGCACAGTAGTCTTTTCCGCAAAAAAGCCTCAATCGCGAAAATGACGATTGGGGCTTTTTTCCGGAAAAGAGCATCTACATTGGCCACAGACGCTTTTCCGGAAAAAGTGCTTTTCTGGAAAAGCATCCTGCCAATGTAGACGCGCTTTTTCCGGAAATATTTATAATGGAAAACTGTTCCGTTTTAAGCATTTCCGGAAAAGGGTGCCAGTGTAGACGTAGCCTTAGAGTTCTTATAAGGGGTCAACAAACATGTGGACAAAGGGGATCCAGTGGATATAGTGTACTTAGATTTCCAGAAAGCCTTTGATAAAGTCCCTCACCAACGGCTCTTACGTAAATTAAGATGTCAAGGTATAAGAGGGAAGATCCTTTAATGGATTCAGAACATGGTTAAAAGATAGGAAACAAAGGGTAGGAATAAATGGTAAATTTTCAGAATGGAGAGGGGTAACTAGTGGTGCTCCTCTAGGTCAGTTCTAGGATCAATCCTATTCAATTTATTCATAAATGATCTGGAGAAAGGGGTAAACAGTGAGGTGGCAAAGTCTGTAGCCGATACTAAAGTGCTCAAGATAGTTAAGACCAAAACAGATTGTGAAGAACTTCAGAAAGATCTCACAAAACTAAGTGATTGGGCAACAAAATGGCAAATAAAATTTAATGTGGATAAATGTAAAGTATTGCACATTGGAAAAAATAACCCCAACTTACATACAATATGATGGGGACAAAATGAGCTACAACTAATAAGTAAAGAGATCTTGGAGTCATCGTGGATAGTTCTCTGAAGACATCTACGCATTATGCAGAGACAAACAAAAAAGCAAACAAGATGTTAGGAATAATTAAAAAAGGGATAGAGAATAAGACAGAGAATATCTTATTGCCCTTATTTAAATCCATGGTACGCCCACATCTTGAATACTGTATACAGATGTGGTCTCCTCATCTCAAAAAAGATATACTGGCATTAGAAAGGTTCAGAGAAGAGCAACTTTAGGGGTTTGGAAGGGGTGCCATAGGAGGAGAGATTACAGAGATTAGGCCTTTCATCTTGGAAAAGAGGAGACTGAGGGGGGATATAATAGAGGTCTATAAAATCATGAGTGGTGTGGAGAAAGTGAATAAGGAAAAGTTATTTACTTGTTCCCATAATATAAGAACTAGGGACCACCAAATGAAATTAATGGGCAGCAGGTTTAAAACAAATAAAAGGAAGTTCTTCTTCACACAGCGCATACTCAATCTGTGGAACTCCTGGCCTGAGGAGGTTGTGAAGGCTAGCACTATAACAGGCTTTAAAAGAGAACTAGATAAATTAATGGAGGTTAGGTCTATTAATGGCTATTAGCCAGGATGGGTAAGGAATGGTGTCCCCAGCCTCTGTTTGTCAGAGGGTGGAGATGGATGGCAGGAGAAAGATCGCTTGATCATTACTTGTTCAATTCGCTCCCTCTTGGGCTCCTGGTATTGGCCACTGTTGGCAGACAGGGTACTGGGCTGGATGAATCTTTGGTCTGACAGGGTACTGGGCTGGATGAATCTTATGTTCTTATGGGTTAAAGCCCTGATGGAGAAGAGTCCACATGGCTTTTTGGAAAAGGAAATCACGACTCACCAATCTACTAGAATTCTTTGAGCGGGTCAACAAGCACGTGGACAATGATGTTCCAATTGATAGTGTGGACTTGGGCTTTCAGGAAGCCTGTGACAAGACCCAAAGGTTCTTTAAAAATGATGGATTGTGTGATAATAGGGAAGATCCTCCAATGGACTGGTACCTGGTTAAAAGACAGGGAACAAAGGGTAGGAATAAATGGGCAGTTTTCACATTGTAGAGAGAAATATCTGTAATCACGAGAAGCAAATACTAGCGTCCCCATGATGAGTGCGTACGGAGACCCAGGCTGATCAACATATTTATAAGCGATGAGAGGGCAAAGTTTGCAGATGATACAAAATCAATAGATGATAAAAAATCACAGTCATAACCTGACTGTGAAATGTTACAAAGAGATTTCACAACTTTGGGTAACGTGGAAAGAAAATGTCAGATGGAAGTCAGTGGTGACAAATGCAAAGCAATGCACATTGTCACGCATAATCCCAGCTATACATACGATGTGGTGAGATCTAAATAAGCTATTACCGCTCAAGAAAGTTCTTGGAGTCATTGTGGAGAATTCCCTCCGAACTTCTGCTCAGTGCATAGGTGCAATCTCTAAAAGCTAACAGACTGCCAGGGAGCATTAGGAAAAGGACAGATAATCAGGCATCAGATAGCATAATGCCACTGTGTTAATCTATGATATCCCCTATGCCCACACCTTGAATATTGCAGGCAGTTCTGTGTGCGCCAACAACCTGTGGAGTTCATTGCCGGGGACGTGCACAGGCCAGAAGCAGAGCTGGGCTCACAAAAGAATTAGGTCGGTTCCAGGAGGGCAGGTTCCTCGCTGGCTGTTGGCCAGGAGGGCCCGGAGGGGAGCCCCGTGCTCGGAGGCGCAGGGACACGCAGGCTGCCCCAAGCCGGGATGGGGTGACAGGACCCCTCAGCGTTGCCTTGTTCTGTTCCTGCCTTCCAATGCACCTGGCACCACCAAGGTGGGGTCCCAGGATGCTCCACTCACCTCTTGTCTGGCACCTCCCGCCGCTCAGCCTGAGGTTTAGCGGTCGAGGACAATGTTTCCTTCCACCTATTGCCCACAGTCACTCCATCTCTCTCTGGCCTGCAGCCCCTCTCTCGCTCCAGCAACCACAATCTCCTGTTTGTTACTTGGCCCTTCAGCCCGTTCACTCCACGTTCCCCACTCAAATCTCTCACTTCCACAGTGACTCAGGGGGGCCTCCCATCCACTGCCCTCTTGGTGCCACTTACCCAGGTGGGTTCCAGCCGTCCTGGGCTTTCCTCTCCCAGCCCTGCCTGCTCCGTCCCTGGGCAGCTTCCTCCCACTCCTGGCTCTGGGTAGGTCAGCTCCAGGTGCTCCTCCCTTTCCCAAGGTGTGACTGCCCGTTCCAAGGAGCAGCCCCTCCCATGCAAACTTCTTAGTTAGATATGCC